CAGTACCGCCGCCTAGCGGACTGTGCAGTAGAAATCCGGTTGACGCCCCGCAGCGCGACGCTTTTTGTGTGTGTTGGGGACGGCATTTGACTCGCGTCATATGACGCTGCCGGTGTATTTTGGCTTTTAGGCTTTCCTTGTTTGCGAGTGGAAGGGCAGGGAGGTGAGCTCTCGCCACCTTAGGCTTTCTGCGTAGGTCTAGTAAAGCCAGAGAGGCCCCAGAACAGAGCCATACCGCCAAATATAATACTGATAGATTTGTTTGACTAAAGTTGTCCTGACTTTTTAACATTTAACCAACAGTAATTAGGCACGACGATTGACGGCAAATTGTCAAACTGTCCACGACTCATCCTCATACTCCCTGTGATTACTCTTCTCTCTGAGGGTCTCATGCTCCCACACTGGTCTCCGTTTCCCTGTGTCCGGTCCCAATGTGCCCTCCTTCTGTCCAGACAGAGTTTTTTGTTTATGTATTCGTGGGAGTGAGAGTGAGAGTCCTTTGTTCTTGGTCTGAAGTGTGAAACACGAGTGTTGAACAGTTAGACAGGATGTGAAGGAGGACGGCGAGCAGAGGCAGCAGGAAACGAGGTGAAGACGAGGTGAGATGTAGCAGGTCCCTGACAGGTGTGCACAGGCGGACGTTAGAAAGCCAAACAAGTCTGGGTGCATATAAGAAGAGTCGAGGCAACTTTATTTACCCAGAGCTGTTGACAGAGGACGTTAGTGGAATACAGATGAGGCTGCAGGAAGAGAAACAAAAGGAAAGGAAGGGCTGAGGGAGAAGACAAAGCGTGTGAGGACACTCGAGGCAGCAGGTCAGATAAGGAGACAGTGCAGGAGCTGTATACTACGTCTGTTAGAAAACAGTTTCAGTTCAACGTACAACATTTTCTCCTGGCGACTGCTCTGTGAAAACAGGGTCCTCGAGGTTCCGAGTGAAAGGCAATATCAGCTCACAAAGTTTCTTTGTTGAGGAGAGCATGAGGACTAAACGAACCCCACATCTATTAGATAATTTATTTGATACATCAGAATACACTGAGCTCGCCGCAGAGGGAGAGGAGCCTGAATGACAGCGTGATTGATGAAAGACTGAACTGCTGAGAAAAGAGCTGTTAGAGAAATGTGTTTGCTTTGTGCTGAAGGACGCCGCTTCTTGTTCGCCTTAAACGCCTCCTGATCAAACACAGAGAGAGCAAGAGGCTTTGATTGCCCTCGTGCGCCCGGCTCCGACACCCGCTGTTATCTGAGCTATTATTATCCGCCGTTTCCGCCATCGGGGGGGGGATGCCAAACTGTGTGCCTGTGCGTGTGCTTTTGTGTGTGTGCGGACACAAAATCTGTTTTACGCTGCTGCAGATTTGAAAGCCACTTTATTAACAGGGTAACAGGGGTTTGGGTTACTGCCGGTGTGGCTGATCCTCTGGATCATGCTGCTGTGTTTTTATGGTTTAGCCCATTAGGTTTAAATCACTCAGAGCTGATGGAAAAACAGTTTTATGATTGGTTACTAACCGTGCAGGCGACCTGTGGTCTCAGTTGCTTCAGTGACAGAGTTTAAAACAGGTCGAGATCGATGATAGCAAACATTTCCTGAGATTTATTTTTCTTCAGACTCCAACAAGATGGAAGTATTAAATGTTATGAAAACTTTTCAGAGTGGTGCATTCAAGGACTCTCCTTCATCCAGGATTGGAGAGAGCTCTGCCACAGGCTACGGTCACATCACAGCAGCCCTCTGCAGTTTCAACGCAGCGCTCTGACACTGTATAGTGAGAGATCTGTACCTGGCAGTGAAGTGTGATGTGGAAAAACACACTTAAAGTCCAATATGTCCGTTTTCACAGCCGTCGCATGGCCAGTAAGTTATATGTAGAAAAAAAAATAGATTTCTGTGTCCACACTACTCAGAACTTTTTTCATTTTAGTGTGGAGACAGAAATCTTTTTTTTTCAGTGTCCACACTAAAGTGAAGAAATCAGATTTCTGTCTCTACACTGTTCCTAAAAATTCAGATTTCTCTGTCTATACTGTTCTGAAAAAAAATCAGATTTATGTGTCCACATTAATATAAAAAAACATCTGATTTATGTGTCCACATTAATATAAAAAAAATCTGATTTATGTGTCCACATTAATATAAAAAAACATCAGATTTATGTGTCCACATTAATATAAAAAAAATCAGATTTATGTGTCCACATTAATATAAAAAAACATCAGATTTATGTGTCCACATTAATATAAAAAAAATCAGATTTATGTGTCCACATTAATATAAAAAAACATCAGATTTATGTGTCCACATTAATATAAAAAAAATCAGATTTATGTGTCCACATTAATATAAAAAAACATCAGATTTATGTGTCCACATTAATATAAAAAAAATCTGATTTATGTGTCCACATTAATATAAAAAAACATCAGATTTATGTGTCCACATTAATATAAAAAAAATCAGATTTATGTGTCCACATTAATATAAAAAAACATCAGATTTATGTGTCCACATTAATATAAAAAAAATCAGATTTATGTGTCCACATTAATATAAAAAAACATCAGATTTATGTGTCCACATTAATATAAAAAAAATCAGATTTATGTGTCCACATTAATATAAAAAAACATCAGATTTATGTGTCCACATTAATATAAAAAAAATCTGATTTATGTGTCCACATTAATATAAAAAAACATCAGATTTATGTGTCCACATTAATATAAAAAAAATCAGATTTATGTGTCCACATTAATATAAAAAAACATCAGATTTATGTGTCCACATTAATATAAAAAAACATCAGATTTATGTGTCCACATTAATATAAAAAAAATCAGATTTATGTGTCCACATTAATATAAAAAAACATCAGATTTATGTGTCCACATTAATATAAAAAAAATCAGATTTATGTGTCCACATTAATATAAAAAAACATCTGATTTATGTGTCCACATTAATATAAAAAAACATCTGATTTATGTGTCCACATTAATATAAAAAAAATCAGATTTATGTGTCCACATTAATATAAAAAAACATCTGATTTATGTGTCCACATTAATATAAAAAAAATCAGATTTATGTGTCCACATTAATATAAAAAAACATCAGATTTATGTGTCCACATTAATATAAAAAAAATCAGATTTATGTGTCCACATTAATATAAAAAAACATCAGATTTATGTGTCCACATTAATATAAAAAAACATCTGATTTATGTGTCCACATTAATATAAAAAAAATCAGATTTATGTGTCCACATTAATATAAAAAAAATCAGATTTATGTGTCCACATTAATATAAAAAAACATCTGATTTCTGTGTCCACACTAAACTGAAAAAACATTCTGCGTCCACTCTACTCAGAATTTTTTCCATATTAGGGGCTGTCCACACCAACACAGGTATTTATAAAACCGTGACTCTTTGCTCACGGTTTGTCCTTTCATCCACACATAACCGCAGTTTTGGGCCCCTGTAACCGGAGTTATTTGTAACCGGAGTCCATGGTGAACTTTTTGGAAAAGTCCAGCGTCAGCAGTCGTGTGGACAGGATAACCACAGTTATTTTGTCTCGCCTCCATTGTATGACGTCACAGTGTGCGACGTAAACAGAAAACAGCTGTGTTATTACCCGATCCAGTGTGTGCGAGAGACGATTTGAGGATGGACCTAAACAAAATACTGCTGCTAATTAGCAGCATATCAGCACTTTGTGGCTGTATCATACAGCTAACTGTCAGTCCACAGAGATTCCACCCTGCCTCGATTCGCCGTTGTTGATTTTTGTTTGCTTGTTGTTTTTCCGGTGATGACTTTTTACTGCCTTCTGATTGGCTACAATGGCCTTACAGTTAGGAGTTATATCGCCACCTACTGCTTTGGCATGTGTATTACATTGCTTGATAGTGGAATTTGCGGTGTCATGTGGACGGAGGTATTTTTATTACACCACTCGTATGGACGCAGATTTTTTAAAAACTGGAGGCCAAAAAAGTTCGGTTTGAAAAATACCCGTGCTCGTGTGGACTAGGCCTTAGTGTGGAGACAGAAATCAGATTTTTTTTAGTTCAGTGTGGACACAGAAAATTTTTTTTTTTCCCAAAATAGTATAGACAGAGAAATCTGAATTTTTAGGACAGTGTGGAGACAGAAATCTGATTTTTTTCAGAGTCCACACTAAAGTGAAGAAATCAGATTTCTATCTCCACACTGTCCTAAAAATTCAGATTTCTCTGTCTATACTATTTTGGGAAAAAAAATGTTTTCTGTGTCCACACTGAACTAAAAAAAATCTGATTTCTGTGTCCACACTAAACTGAAAATATCAGATGTACGTGTCCACGCTAAACTGAAAAATTCCGGTGTGTCCACACTTCTCTGGGTAAAACAAACAGCTTTTTGCATCCACACTAAACTGAAAATATCAGATTTCTGTGTCCGCACTAGATTGAAAAAAAAATGGCTTTCTATGTACACACTGAAATGAAAAAAAAACACACACACACACAGATTTTTGTGTCCACACTAAACTGAAAAATCAGATGTATGTGTCCACACTAAAACAAAATAAAATTTGGTCCACATTTGCTTGTAATGTGAACGAAGCCTTCGAGCATCCGTGAAAACAACTGTTTGTCTTTTTGTTTTGTTTTTGTAGCATTATGAAGGAAGAGCGTGAAATCTAAGGGTGAAACTGGATACTTGTTTGTCAGAGTGTCCTTGAATGCACCAAATGACCCGACAAGTTTCACGCTACGTCTTATCTTGATATTAACATACGCTCATTAACTCTAGTGAAAGTAAACTACAAACAGCAGCTGTTCGTGCCATAGCCTGCAGAAAGTGTTTAGATGAAGGTGACTGAAGGTTCCTCTCTCTTCATAAATCAGTGTATAAAACATATGAGCCTCTTCATCGCTCCTCCTCCTCTCTTCTTTAGCTTCGTCTAACCGTCTCCTCTCTCCTGCCCTCCCTCCACAGGTGAAACCATGCGGCTGTGTGGTGCTCCCTAGCCTCCCCTGTCCCTCGCCTCCCACCTGATCTCTCCTCCTCCACCCCCCTCTTCCTCCTTTGTCCTCCTGCTCACCATGACGACCCCCCTGGAGATGCTGCTGGCTCAGCCCGACCAGGAGCTGAGCCACGAGCGGCTGGACGGCTGCGAGGACATCGCCGGGCGCTACAAGGTGGTGCCCTCCGTGGTCTGCTCCATGTGCTGCCTCTTCGGCATCATTTACTGCTTCTTCGGTGAGTCCTGATCGATGTGATTAATTTGCTCGCCAAGTCACGGCGCTGTTAACGTGTTTTTTCTCTGCGTATTTCAGGCTATCGCTGCTTCAAAGCGGTGATGTTCCTGACGGGCCTGATGTTCGGCTCCGTCGTCATCTTTATGCTCTGCTACAAGGAGCGCGTTCTGGACACCCAGCTGAGCGTGGAGGCCTCAGTGGGCATCGGCCTCGGCATCGGCACGCTCTGCGGCCTGGTCACCATGCTGGTTCGCAGCGTGGGCCTCTTCATGGTGGGCCTGCTGCTGGGCCTGCTGGTGGCCGTGGCCACCCTAGTGGGCATGGAGGAGCTTTCCAACAGCCCGCCGCGCTCCGTCTGGGTGCCCCTGGGCGTGCTGCTTGGCCTGGGCATGCTGTTCGCCGTGCTCACCCTGCAGTGGCAGCGTCTCTTTACCACGCTGTCCACGGCGGTGTTCGGCGCAGCGGTCATCACTGTGGCGTTAGACTACTTCGTGGAGCTCTTCGCCCTCGTGCTGTACATGTATGAGCGGATGAAAGCGGTGCCTGGGAAGCCTGTGTGCTGGCTGACGTGGGTGGTGCTCGGGGTGTGGCCTGCCCTCACCCTGCTGGGTGTCATGGTCCAGTGGAAGGTGACCGCTGAAGGATACTCCCATACCAAGGGTGAGGACGGGTCTCTAAAACTATTAGTACACCTGTAGGGAAGTTCTTTAAATTTGGCACAAACATCGACTTCCATTCAAGGATGAACTGATTTGATTTTGGTGGCCAAAGGTCAAGTCACTGTCACCTTGCGTTGTGTCATTCCCATGAACACGAAGAAGGCGGTGAAGGAATTTCCTCAATTTTGGCACAAACGTCCACTTGGACTCACAAATCAATGGATTAGAATTTGGTGGTCAAAGGTTAACGTCACTGTGACGTGGCATCCGTTTCATTTCTTGAATGTGACGGGTCAGGAACACCTTGAGGGAATTTCTTTAAATTTGGCACAAACGTTCACCTGGAACTCAAGAATGAACTAATTAAAATTTGATGTCTATTAAAGCAAGTAACTGTGTGTGACCCAGGTCAAGGTCACTGTGACCTCGTTTGTCGCATTCTCATGAATACAGCCTCTCAAGAACACTGGAGAAATTTCCTAAAATAAGGCCCAAACATCCACTTAGACTAAATGTGTATTGATTTGATGGTCAAACAGCAAAGTCACTGTGATTTGTGTCCCTCTCATTTCGTGAACGTGACATCTCGGGAAGGGAATTTCTCTAAATTTGGCACAAACATCAAGGTTACTGTGACCTCGTTCGTTGCATTCTTGTGAAAATGATATCTCGAGAGCACCTTGAGGAAATTTCTTTTATGTGGCACAAACGTTCACTTGCACTCAGGAATGAACTGATTAGACTTTGGTGTCTAGTTAAAGCAAGTAGCTATGTGTCTAGCTCCACCTTCAGCTACACCAAAACCTTTACAGTTCTATTAGCATACGCTAGCTAACATCTGTCTGAAGCTTTGATGGAGGAAAACAAGGCTCCTCCTCACGGGCCTCCCTCTTCTCCTCAGTGATCATCAGCCGGCAGCAGAGGAGGATGCAGGTGATGCGGATTCGTCAGCGGGACGATCGCTATCGCAACAAGAAGAAGAAGAAGCAGCAGCACGGCTCCTCCCACCATCACCACCAGGCCAAGCAGCTTCACACTGAGCCCGCCTACCGCCGCAAACCCAACCCTATCCGCCGCTACGACACGGACGTCCTCTCACCAGTGAGGAACTTATTTTCCTTATCTATGGTTGTGTTGTTTGTCTTTTTTATACTTCCTGCTGTGTGATTGGTCGTTTCTTTGTATCATTGTGTCGGGTTTTGAAAATTACAGATAGAGCAGTCATTCTTTTTACAGCAGAAAGCTAAGGCTTCTGTCTTTCTGTCATCACCTTATGTTACCGTACCTTTCATGCCGTGCAAACACAGTATGTCACCAGAATTGCGCTTGAATTTAACCGTAATAGCTGCGGGAAATCCATCCATCCATTTTCATCCGCTGATCCGGGGTCGGGTTGCAGGGGCAGCAGACAAACAAAGGTCCCCAGACAACCCCACGGTGTTCCCAGGCCAGATATGTAATCCAGCCGGTGTGTTCTGGGTCTGCCCCAGGGCCTCCTACCAGTCGGGGGTGTGTGGGACACCTCAACTGACCCCTTTCAACATGAAGGAGCAGCGGCTCTACCCCAAGCTCCCTCCAGATGTCTGAGCTCCTTACCCTATCTCTAAAGCCCTGTTTCCACCAAACACTTTCGGTGTGGTACCTTTGGAACCAGAAGTAACCCTTCAGACATGGTTCCTAGACCCACGGTCTGTTTAGTGTTTCCACCACAGACAGTCGAGGAACCATGTCTGAAGGGTTACTTCTGGTTCCAAAGGTACCACACCGAAAGTGTTTGGTGGAAACAGGCTATAGTGACACTCTAGGCTTCTACTGACAGTTTGGATCCATTGGGTCTGGTCTAGCGCCTCCAAATGGCCAAAAACAGCCATAGTAGTCTAATTCGGTATAACTTGATCGTGGGCCTGGAATGATGGGTTATACAGCTTTCCTGGGATGTTGCAATACCTACACACTGATGTCACCCAGTGCAAAAATGATACTGGACTTTGAAGACCCACCCTGTCCTATATCTCAGCTGCTGCTTAACTTGGCATTTCTCTTCATGTTTTATTATCTACTCTCATTTGTTAATGTTTCTTTGAATGCCTTTCCTCTCTCTGCACCATCCAGAGCTACATCCAGAGTTTCCGAGACCGGCAGGTCCAGGCGCAGCCCATCCCGAGCCGGCTGGTCGGCGGCCCTCACACCGTGGTGGACGTTGGTTACGACTGCGGCTCCACGACGCCCCTCACCGGAGCTGCAGCACCTGCACTGCGTGTCTGAACACTCCTTCACCTCCCAGAGGCCTGAACACACCACGCCACCTGAGAGATGCGTGACTCTGCAATCACTACTCCACCCGGGTGGAACCACACCTGTGCTAGAACAAAACGCCATTGGGTTTCAATGCAAAGGGTTTAAACATAATCTGGGTTCAGCCACGTCCCTAACAGGATGAAATATATCTAGGGCTGGATTTACCCACAATGCAAATCATGTTTAACCCTTTTACTAATTAAATTTTGGATCATAAGGCTCCGTCAGTGTGGTGCAGAGGCTCGACCTCTTTTCACTGTCTTTCAAATGCACAAACACATGCACGCACTCACACAAACACACACTGCAGCTACAATCTCCAGGGTCGACGTGGAAACCTAGAACAGCCCGCTGTACCCGACCCCGGCCTGTTTGTCACCGTCTCCAGTCAAACCACATCAGGGATCTCAGTTTCAGCGCAAACACGCCTCAGGTTCAAACCCAAAAATCAAAATCAACCCTGGTTTCTACCGCTGCCGCCGATTTTCAACTCATGGTGCAGAAGGAACTCGTTCCTCAGCCTGTAGGCGTCTTAAAAGTCCAACAAAGACCATCTCTAAAGGGAAGTAAGGGCCCTTAAATGCAAGCCGGGATCTTTTATTTGCTTTCTGTGCCATGCGGACTACAACAACCGTCCCTGAAACGGGGAGAGACGTCTTTAATGTTTAAAGGGGGAAACCCTTCGTCACCCTTGGTGCTGGACGATCTTCAAGCGTCAAACTGTTCTCTGACAGCCGGGGAATCTGTTTAAATGGGTGCCTTGCCCCTCTGTGGACTGTACCACTCAGCAACAGGAGGGGGGTTACTGGCAGATCTCCCATCGATGGCTTGTTTTTGCATTAAATGTGATCACAGAAGGATTTCTCAGCCATGGAGCTACAACAAGCAGGGTAAAAAAAAAATCTTGTTGGAGTGGAGTTGGCTTCTTGTCTTAACAGATGCCTGGACATACGAGGAGGATTTGCTTTAAACCGACAGCAAGAGAGCCGCGTTTACACTGGCACCTCATCTGAGGTTTCACGCAACGCAGAAAAAAGGAAACAACAATCTGATTATTTTACAACCTGAGTGTCGTTCCTGCTGCAGTGCAAAGTGTTCTTCCTCCAAGAGATTATTTATGCTGCTGAGCCGAGAAGTGATAGTGAAAGTTATGTTTCACTTTCTTCCTGTTTCCTGCTGCAGAGCAATCAAAATCTGAGCCGTTTCAAAACGAGCAGAAGAAGCAGGTGAAAGTTTAAAATCTTCTCCGGGATGAGCAGATTTGTACGGAGCCCCTAACGTCCCAAAATATTATATATTTTTATTTTGGGCGTACAAGATATTTTTCTTGTTAAAGTTAAAGTTTTAAAATGTTGATATCTTCTGCATACAAAGTAATGAGGTAAAAACTTGCGTGCTCAACATAACTTGTTTCCACAACATAAAAGTTATTATCTAGTGGGAACAAGTTATTATCTTGAGGGGAAAAAGTTTTCTTGTGCGCACTTGTTCCCTCAAGATAATAACTTGTTCTTATCGCATGAGAACAAGTTATTATCATGTGGGAACAATTTATCTTGTACACACTTTTACCTCAAGATAACAACTTGTTCCCACAACATAAAAGTTATTATTTAGTGGGAACAAGTTTTTATTGAGGGAACAGTGTGTACAAGATAACTTGTTCTCACAAGATAATAACTTGTTCACAAAACATACGTTATTATTCAGTGGGAACAAGTTGTTATCTTGAGGGAACAAGTGCGCACAAGAAAACTTTTTCCCCACATGATAATAACTTATTCCCACTAGATCATAATTTTATGTTGTGGGAACAAGTTATTATCATGTGGGAACAAGTCAACTTGTGTGCACTTGTTCCCTCAAGATAACAACTTGTTCCCACTAGATGTAATTTTTTAAATTGTATGAACAAGGTAGTATCTTGAGAGAATAAGTGCACACAAGATGACTTGTTCTCACTTGATAATAACTTGTTCACAAAACATACAAATTATTATCTAGTGGGAACAAGTTATTATCTTGAGGTGACAAGTGTGCACAAGATAACTTGTTCCCACAAGGTAATAATTTGTGCACACAAGATTAAAGATAATATCTAGTGGGAACAAGTCATTACCTTCAGGAAAAATGTGCACAACATCATCTTGTTCCCACAAGAAAATATTTTTTCTGCAAGATAAAAGTTATTTTCTTGTGGGAACAAGTGCACACAAGATAAGGTGTTCCCACATGATAACAATTTGTTATCTCAAGAGAATAACTTTTCCCACCATATAAAAGTTATTCTCTTGTGCACACAAGATAATTCCCACGAGATAGTAATTTGTTCCTACAAGACAATTGCTGGTTCTCACAAGATAGTAACTTGTTCCCACAATGTAAAGTTATTATCTAGTGGGAACAAGTGTGCACAAGATAACTTGTTCCCACAAGATAATAACTTGCGCACATGAGATGACTTGTTCTCACAATATAACTTGTTCCCACAACATTAAGTTATTCCTAGTGGAAACAAGTGCATGCAAGATAGCTTATAATAGCAATAATAGCAATAATAACGTGTACGCACAAGGTAATAACTTGTTCCCTCAAATAATTACATGTTCCCTCAGAATGATAGCTTGTTTTTACAAGATAGTTATTGGTTCACACAAGATAAAGGTCATCTTGTACACACAAGACAAATTGTTCCTACATAATAGTAATTTGTTCCATCGAGATAGTAACTTGTGCGCACAAGATAAAAGTTCTAATCTAGAGAGAACAAGTTGTAATCTTGAGGGAACAAGTGTGTACAGGGTAACTTGCTCCCATGCGGTAATAACTTGTGTGCACAAATAAGTTGTTCTCACAAGATAGTAACTTGTTCCCACAACATTAAGTTATAATCTTGAGGGAACAAGAGCGCACAAGATAACTTGTTCCCACATGATAATAATTTGTTCCCCCAAAGTAATAACATTTCCCACAAGATAAAAGTTACTATCTTGTGTGCACAAGATAACTTGTTCCCACACAATAATAACGTGTACACACAAGGTAATAACTTGTTCCCTCAAATAACTACATGTTCCCTCAGAAGTATTATCTTGAGGGAACAAGAGCGCACATGATGACTTGTTCCCACGTGATAATAACTTGAGGAACTTCCGGGGCTCTGTAGATGTGTGTAATCAAAATGCTAATAGTTTATTGATATTAAAACAGTGACTCCAGGCTGAGACGTCAGTGTAAACAAGGCTCAGAGCGTGCGGATGAAAGACTCGGACTCGTGGCCATACCAACTTGTACTTAGACCAACAACTTCTTCCATCATGTGCATTGATTTTCTTTTTTTGGGACAACATAACGTTTCTGTCACCAGTGAAAATGTGAATACTTTGTTACTGTCTTTACCTTTTTTAAAGGAAAAGCAAACAAATGTGGGGGGGGGGGGGGGGGGGGGGGGGGGGGGGGGTGTTTTTTTGTGTTGTGGGGGGGGGGGGGGGGGGGGGGGGGGGGGGGGGGGGGGGGGGGGGGGGGGGGGGGGGGGGGGGGGGGGGGGGGGGGGGGGGGGGAATGTATGTTTTTATTCATCCGTTGGAAACGGACAATGCATGATCTCACCCCTCCGTCCCGTCCCGTCCCCGCTCCGCCCTGCGTGGCTTCGTTTTGGCTCCCACCAGACACCCTCCGCCCCTTCCATGTGCATCGATGTGAAATTTGTACATAAAACACAGCACTTACTAACTTTCTTTCTTTTCTTATTTTTACCATTTTATCATTTCATTTAAACTGTTTTTTTTCTTTTTCTTAGGACTCTAATTTAATTGTTCTTTTCCAGTGGGATGTATTTATTTGCTGATTTATTTATTTCTGGAGCCGTTGTGTAAAGGAGAGTGCAATGTCATCACTGTAGGCCAGTAACTCCATGCTTTTTTTTTTAAAGATTGAATTATGACTATGATTATTAAAGCATGTGTTCCTATGGGCCTGTACACCATCCATCTGTGTGACTCGTCTGTTCGCTCAAGGACATGCAGACATCAAGCAGCTGGAACATGAAATACACTTTACTTTTATTAGCAAATAATATTTGAAAGTCACAAGAGATTATCCCTCCTCCTCCTCCTCCTCCTCTTCCTCCTCCTCCTCCTCCTCCTCTCTACCTCACACAGCCTCCTATCTCTGCCTTCATCTCCAGACACCCTTTAATCTCCCCCTCCATCTCCTCCTTGTTATCTGTCCTCTCTGCGTCCCCTCACTGATAAGCACTCGCACATACAGTTCACTTCGTCCTCCTCAGAGCTCCTGATTGCACAAAAAAGTGACTCTGACCTTGAGGAAGAAACCAGAAGCAGAATCATAACACAGTTTGAAAAAGGCAGCAGTGCATGTTCAGAGTGGGAGTAAAGCCATCTGCACAACTGAAGTGGTTAAAAAAAAATGAGATGCGAAAGCAAATTAGCTCAGTTGATGTGAAACAACAGCACGTCTGTGATATTTAAGTTAGATTGCAGAGCAGGAAGTGAATGCAGCACCAGAATATTTTATTTAGCAGGCTGTCTGAAATGCTTTTACACTTTGCAGCCTCTTTCAGATGCAAATATGCTGTTTTGCATGTTGTGATTTTAATATTTTGCCACTAGACCACAAAAAATCTCCATCTTTTATCTGTTATCGAGACCTTGTTGACCCACCTCCACCGTAATGATGGCGTTTTTGTTGAGAAATGTTGGCATTTCTGCAAACCATAGATACATTTGCACGTTATTATATCACAACTTTCTGTTTCAAAAACGCTGTGGTTGATGTGTGGTTATGTTTAGGTACAAAAATCATTTGGTTATTGTTTGGAAAAAATCATGTTTTGGCTTAAAACGCCTGAATTTGAGGGCACAATTTCTGCGAGAAAAGCAGCAATGTTTACATCTGGGTTAAAAAACAACCACTATTTGTGGCACTACTCCAGCAGGAAACGCAGCAGTGTTTCCGTAAAAGGCATACGCTTTTCAAGGCGCAATTCCAGCTAGTAATGTCATGATGTCTAGGTGGAAAACAGCCACTTTTTGTGGCACAATCCTCGCTAGAAATGCAGTGGTCTCATTAAAAAAACAACTGCTTTTCAGGGCAGTGTCTGTGTTGGAAATGCAGTGATGTCTTTTTAGAAAACAGCCATTTTGGTGGCGCGATCTCTGCTGGAAATGCAGCATTGTAGGAAAAGATCATGTTTTGATTTGAAATACAGCAGCAGTGTCTCAGTAGATAACAAACCCTCTCTGTGGCACTATTCCCGCTGGAAACACAGTTATGTTTAGGTAAAAAAACAATCATCTTTTTGGCAATATCCCTGCTGGAAATGCAGCTATGTCTTGTTAAGAAACATCCGCTTTTCATGACACTAGTAATTTTTGGGTAAAAAATAGTCAATTTTTGTAGCAAGAAATCCGCTGGAAATGCAGGGAAGTCTCGTTAAAAAGCAACCACCTTTTGTGGTAATTGCCCCTCTGGAAACACAGAAATGTTTAGGTAAAAAAACAATAATTTTCTTGGCAATATCCCTGCTGGAAATGCATTGATGTCTTGTAAGAAACAACTACTTTTCATGGCATGATCTCCACTGGAAATGCAGCAATGTCTCAGTAAAAAACAACCATTTTTTGTTGCACTATCCCTGCTGAAATTGGAGCGATGTCTTGGTAAACAACTGTTGCTTTTTTGTGGCACTATTCCCGCTGGAAACACAGTAATGTTTATGTTTAAAAAAAAAACAATCATCTTTTTGGCAATATCCCAGCTGGAAATGCAGCTATGTCTTCTTAAGACACACCCGCTTTTTGTGACACTAGTGATGTTTAGGTTAAAAATAGCCACTGTTTTGTAGCAAGATCTCCGCTGGAAATGCAGGGAAGTCTTGTTAAAAAGCAACCACATTTTGTGATACTAGCCCCACTGGAAACACAGAAATGTTTCAGTATAAAACAACAGTTTTTGGAGGCACAATTCCGGCTGGAAATGTAATGATGCCTCAGTAAAAAACAACTGCTTTTCGTGCCACCATCCCAGCTGGAAATGCAGCAGTGTTTAGTTAAAAATAAATGCTATTTGAGGCACTATCCCTGCCAGTAATGTGGCGATGTCTTGGTAAAAAACTGTTGCTTTTTGTGGCACTATTCCCGCTGGAAACACAGTAATGTTTACGTAAAAAAAAAACAATCATCTTTTTGGCAATATCCCAGCTGGAAATGCAGCTATGTCTTGTTAAGAAAAACCTGCTTTTCGTGACACTAGTGATGTTTAGGTAAAAAATAGCCACTGTTTTGTAGCAAGATCTACACTGGAAATGCAGGGATGTCTCATTAAAGAGCAACCACATTTTGTGGTACTAGCCTCACTGGAAACATAGAAATGTTTCGGTATAAAACAACATCTTTTCGTAGCGCTATCCCAGCTGGAAATGCAGCTAAAAATGAATGCTTTTTGAGGCACCATGAGGCCAGTAATGTGGCGACGTCTGGGTAAAATTCTGCTGCTTTTCGAGGCATCATCATTGCTGGAAATACAGATGATGGGTCGCTTCTAAACACCCACATTTGGTGCCTGAAAATCTGCTGGAAACGCAGCAGTGGCACCAAATCACACCCGATGATGTTTGTTGGTCTTGAACAGTGGTCTGCAGCTTGGCAGGTGTCACACCATCCACCATCCCCTTCACCTCCTGATGACGGTCAGCTCACATACTACGTCACTTTAAAAACACTGATGCGATACATATGAAACGTGCAAAGGTATTCATGGTGTGCAGAAACGTACAGCGCCAACATTGTCTTCTGGTGACTGGGTTGTGTTCGCTGCACATATACGTTGCTTTTGGCTAAAACACACCACAAAGCAGAGAGAAATAAACCCTGATAAAGTTAATGAAACACCACCCTGCTTCAAATTCACATATGAGCTTTAACACCAGCACAGTACAGGCCATAATCACGACTCAAGTCTTTTTACTTTTAGTTTTATTTGCGCATCTTTTCTTCATCTGTCCGACTCAGACTCGGGCAGATGTGTTGTTGTTTCTTGTTTCTTCGTCTCCTCTGCAGATGGTTACATGATGTCCTGCTGGTGCTGTGTCGACTCGCTGACGACCTGGAGGGCAGAAACACAAACAGTGAGACGACGTTCAGAGATATGAAAACAGAGAGATGAAGAGACAGTGTGTGTGAGGGTCAGCACGTCTCGTGTTTTAGTGTGTGACGTTCATGTTCGGTTGGGTTTCTCAGTGTATAAAAAATGAAGGAGAGAAACAACGTTTGATGAGATGATTTTTAAGTATTTAACTCTGTAAAAGTAAATTGCAAAAACTATAAAGGACAAAATCTACTAGACAGAAGTATATCGAAATTTATATATATATATATATATTTTATTCCGGTGCAGCCAATGTGGAGGACAAGAGCTGTCAAAATTATAAATAAATAATAAATGAATATGCTGGTAAGGTACCAAAATAATAATGAAAAATATGTAGGTATTAATTAATGAATAAAATGTGACATAGATTCATGATTTTGTTTTAATTTGCTTCTTTATTCACCTTTGTATTAATTCTCTTGTTTCTTTTATTTAGATATTTAAATTAATTATTTGAATTATTTTTATTTTTATTTCTTTGCTTTAGATTTATTAAAATAATGTATCTTAGAATGTATTCATCAAGATATTTCTGTATTTATTAATCATTTTTTAATTCTTTTTGTTGTTTTTTTTAATTTATTTTGAAATGTATCTGCATTTGTAAATGTATTCAAGACATTTATTTTTTGTAATTCATTTTTAAAAAAAATTATTTTTTTTGTTTTTGTAATTAATTTTCAATTATTATTATTATTATTTTGTAATTAATTTTCAATTATTTTTTTCGATTTATTTTGTAATAATTTTAAATTATTTTTTTTTTTTATTTTTGTAATTAATTTTAAATTATTTTTTTTTTTTTTTTTTGTAATTAATTTTAAATTATTTTCATTTCATTTCATTTCATTTTTTTTTTAAATTTTTTTGTTTGTATATTATTAATTAATTGATTCATTTTGTAGTTTATTTTTTATTAATTTTTCAATTAATGTATTTATTTTGAATTTATGTTTTATTTGTTTTAAATTTATTCATCAAGACATTTATTTTTTTTTTAATCAATTTTTCAGTTAATGTGTATTTATTTTATTTTTATTTATTGATTTATTCTTTAATTTATTTATATGTTTATTTTTATGTTTTTTCTCCAAAATGCATTTTTTAATTTATTTATCAGATCATTTGTTTTCAGGCTTGGCGATTAGAGAGAAAATCAAACATTATAAAATTGTTACCAACTACCTCAACTCTGCTTTTACAAAATATTCACCCAGTGAGCAGCTTGTGTCTCTCTAATATCCAGAATATTTTTTTAAAGTTGATTTCTGTTGGACACT